GTTGTATATTTCATTTTCCCCTCCTTCAGCTTTCTCCCTCCCTCTCTTGCTTTAGGTGCCTGAACCAGAATTATTTATGAATAGTATTAAATAGCTAGTTATATGGCATCAGCTTACCATGGGATCTGTCCTTGGGGACATAGGCTTTTAGGTGAAATGAACCCACATGAAAAAACATCCAGACGGATTTCAGGAGGAGAGCAAAGGAAGGCATTGGAGCCTTCCTGCCTTAGCTAGTGTTCTCCAGGGTTAACAAAAATACTTTGTAACATGGCTATGAGATACTTTATAAGACGGTTATTTTCAGGCAATCCTTCTTAAGATGGATTCAGATCTAGGGAAAACCTAAACTGTGATGGAAAATAGGGGAGGATGCCCCCTTATTCCCAGAAACTTCAGGAATTTTCAAAATTTTTGAATCTAGTTGGTGTCAGTGGAGAAAGGGCCCATTTGAAACTTTTCATTCACGAAGCAGCAATTTCACCAAGAGGTAGGTGGTAGGTGGGGAAGGATGGGGCATCATGTTCCAAGAGTGATAACGAGGAGAGGGTGGACTGAGGGACCAATGGAGGAACACCCACCTGAATGCTCTCTTGGAGCCCAACAATACTTGACAACAGGACATCTGGAAACTTCTAGGGCTTGTGTGACAACTGCATAAAGCATAATGCCAGCAGCTATGTGGGCAGGGACAGGTATGGATTGTACCTGGTGGGTGCCAGTCCAAATAGGAGCTTGGTGTCTAAAAAGTTGGTCACCATTTACTTTTTTTTTTTTAATAGTTCATGTAGTCTTTCTATTGTCATATTTTGTTTCTTTGTAATTTCTTTTCTTGTCTCAGTAGATTTGCTTTTTTTTAGATTTGCTTTTTATTATATTATGATTTCAGCTTTCACCTTTGTTTCACAGATCCACGTTTTCTTGAATTTTATTGAACACAAAGTAGATGTTCCCTAAAATTTACCATTAGTACATTTGTTCCCATTAGTACATTTTATTTTCAAAAGTGAGTCCTGGGTACCTGGGTGGCTCAGTGGGTTAAAGCCTCTGCCTTCAGTTCAGGTCACCATCTCAGGGTCCTGGGATCTAGCCCCATATCGGGCTCTCTGCTCAGCAGGGAGCCTGCTTCCCCCTCTCTCTCTGCCGACTTGTGATCTCTGTCTCTCTGTCAAATAAATAAATAAAATCTTAAAAAAAAAAAAAGTGAGTCCTTTCTCTGCATTTTGAGTGTGGTATTCTCTGCATTCTTGAATGCTGAAATCTTTTTGTTGATATATATATTTTTTTCTGTTTGGTTGTTTTTGAATAAAGAGAGGTGGATGTCAGCTGGGTGTTCTCCATAAACACAGTGGGTGTGTTCTAGGTTTCCTTTATGTCTGCCAGGGTGTTGATAGAACCTTTTACTCATCTCACAAGCCAAGAAACGGGAGTAGGTATGAATTTTTAGTACTTTTTATGTATCCTAAAGATACTTCATTCTATATTATTTCTTCTCTGGATTTGTTAAAGCCATTAGGTTATGGGTTTTGCTTCTGTTTACAACTATCTGTCAGGGCAGACTTTCACACCGGCTACATAAATGTGGGTATGCCCAGTGTTGGTCTGGTATTCTTGGAGACTACATCAGGATGGAGCCCCGCACTCTTGATTTTCTGCGACTTGTGGCACTCAGCCTGGGACTTTCCAGGGGAGGTGGTTTTCAGTGCTCTGGTCTGAACTGTTGAATGGAATTCCAGGTGATGCTTTCACAAGGCACCTCACCCCTGCTTTGGCCTATGGCCCTGGCTGCCAGATCCCAGGATAATAGGAAGCTCTTCCAGGCTTGATTGCCCTAATACTGTGCTTTCCTGGGAGTGGGAATCGTTCATAATCATGGATTCAAAGTGAAACTCTATATGATGTCTTTGGTCATTTCAATTGTTTCTGACTGATTATCATTGGTTTTTAGTTCATGAAAGTGACGTAGGAAGCCCTTCTACTAGGAACTTCTTTTCTCTTAGGAAAAGAAGTGTCAGTCATTTTCATATTTACTTGACTTTGCATAATTAGCACTATATTTCATCTCCCACTTTAAAAACTCTTTTGAAACTACTTGTCTATTTTGTAAAGATGGGCTTTGTTAAATCTAAGTCGCAGATCCATAGTCCACTTAATGGGAGACCTAGGAATCTACTCCCACCCTTGAAAGATCACTGTTCTAGAATATGCCTTCAAGTTTTTTGGTTTTGTTTTTTAGAAAATCATATTAATGATGAAATTTTGAACTTGCCCACACCTGAGAATATATTTTTTGGCCATTCTACTAAATATAGGTATAGACATAGATATCTTAAATTATACCACATTATTCTCAAAAAATGGTATGACTATTAAATGGCTTTCTGGTATTTGGCATGGTAGAAGTCTATGGCCAACTTAAATTTCTGTTACTTTCTAAGTCATATATTTTATTTTCTAAGATTTGCCAGTTCTTTTCTCTATTGTTTGAAATAGAAAATTACAACAGCATATGTTGGATTTTTTTATGTATTTTTTTTTCCTGGTTTTATCTGATCCCTTTTTATCTGCTTATAAAGATTTTTCTTCAGTCTAGGAAAACTTATTCGATTAAAGCTGCTTAAGTTTGTTTATTTCTTATGGAAGACCTATTATAGGTGGACAGGATCACCTGGTTCTTATTTTTATTAATGTTATATTTGCCTAGTCATTTTTTTTTTTTTTTTTGTCATTTTTCCTCTTAGTTTTCTCAATCTCTCAATAGAGATGTGTTCTAGGTAGATTCCTGGTAGAATCTACCTAGTAGATTCTAGAAGATTCCTGGTAGAATCTTCAAGCCCCAAATGAAGGGAGAAAATTTTTAAAATTCTTAAATTTACCCTCATTTTACTTTGCTATTTGAGAGTCCAGACAGCTTGGGGGTGGTTGGGCCCCTGGAGGTGAGAGTCAAAATCAGAGGCAAACCTAGCCAGGAATGTGTTTTGCTAAAGAGCTTCCAAACCTTATTTGGAATAGATCTCAGGGTTCACAGCTACAATCTCCCCATTCTTTGGCAGACTGGCCGTCCACTCTGTGTGAGTGACTGGTAAGCCATTACATGCCAACTCCCTGTCCTGCTGTCCCTGAAACCCAGAACACTTCCTAATGGGAACCACAGGGCTGCTCCTCACCTCTGGGCCCACAGAGGCCTCTGCTGGTTTCCTTTGTCTACTTCCCTGTGAATATATTGGAGAGTCTTAAGTCAGGTAGTGACCACGCTCAATCTAATTTTTTTTTGTATTTTACATTGTTGAAATCCCTGGGAATTTCTTTTGTATGGCTGATTGTACTGTTTAAGGTGGATCCAGAGTTTTTCCTCAGTCTTTACTGCTGATCATTTTCATGGAGATCTGGAGGGGAATAATTTACACCTTGCCACGAAATAAACTATCCTCACTTAGGATGGCAAATCTTGAGAATATTTTGAAGTCAGGAAAGTGCAAACAGGCTTGGGAGATGGAGACTTGATGCTAATCTAAAGTATATTGCTAGAATGTTTCCCATTTGGTTGCCTGGGATCATCAAGGTCACTGAATAACAACAATGACAATGAAGGTAACAATTGCCTTTAGAAAAACAACCAGGAAAGGGGAAATGTTGGTCAAGGAATATAGACTTAGTTTTGAGGTGAATAAATTCTGGGGATCTAATGTGTTTTGGTGATTATAATGAGCAAGTTATTAGTTTCAAATATTGTATACTTGAAAGTTGCTAAGAGTAAATCTTTAATGTTCTCACCATGAAAAGTTATAATTGTCTGAGATGATGGATGTGTTAACTAACCTTATTGTGGTAAGTGTTTTGCAATATATATGTATATCCAGTCACCATGTTGTACACCTTACACAATGTGATATGTTAATTATATTAAATAAAGCTCAAAAAACCTCATGTTTGATGTGAATATATTAATATCAGTTTGATTTAACTTTATATCAACTTAGAAAATTTGGTGGTTGGATCTCCTTCATTTAGCTGACACTCAGGGAAGTTAAATATCTTACCTGGTATAACATAGCTAATATGTTGTGATGTGGGGCTCAAACCCAAGGTTGTCCTCAAAGCTCCTGTTCTTTCCTTTGCTGGCCATCAAACAGCCCAAGGAATTGTCCAACCTCCACATCTCTGATTTTTACAGTGTTCTCAGTTACTGGACTTTGATCATCTATTGTTATTTTTTTGCTCTCATATATACTAACCCCTTCCCTGTGGGGATAATGTTGATATAAATGAAAGGGCCTGTTTTGTCATTTCTCTTACACTTTCTGGAACACTTGACTAGCAGGGCGGAAGATTTTGTCTTCAGTACTTTGCTTTACCGTCCAGCCTCTTTCTCTCTCTTTTTTTTTTTCCTTAAAGCTGAGGTATTTATCTACCCCTAGAGGAATTCCTCCTGCCCAGTAAAGTAATTTATCTTTGGTATTCCTTATGTAGCCTCTGTGAGTATTTTGGTGCTCTGAATCTCTTCACCTGTTTTGGAATATGCATTGACCCTGAGGTTGCTCATGCAGGCTCAAGAAGTTGGTCATGGCTGAACAAACATAGTATGATTTTTAACATAGCAGAATCTCAAGTGGTATTTGGTGACATTGGTGTGGTTCATGCTTTACTATATCCAATTAAAATTTTAAAAAATTGAAATTAGAGAAGCAGCAAATTGCTAATTTAGGGAATTCTTAGAAAGATAAAAGACAGCTAGAAGGACTTGGGGGTGGTCTGTGCCTGGTGGATGAGGACATTGTTGTTCTTGCTTCACAATGGCAAAAACGTATATATTTCTTTTATAATTTGCTCCTTTGAGAAATGCTGGTCAGCTCCATCATTATTAGATTTCTATTTTCCTTCCAGGTAAATTGGAATAAATAAAAATACTCTGTGCCTGTAAAATGGGATGTGTTGCTGGGATTGTAGGATTATTCATGGTCTTCTCTATTCTAATTTAGTTGTGTCTTTTCTCCCCCTAGGTTACGGTCTTTAGTCAAACAATTAGAGAGAGGCGAGGCTTCAGTGGTAGATCTTAAGAAGAATTTGGAATATGCAGCCACGGTACTTGAATCTGTGTACGTTGATGAAACCAGGTAAGCAAAACATGTCAAAAAGTTAGTACACTGAGGGTCGGTTTTCTGTTATGTGGCTTTTCTGAAATGTCCCCCTTGGCCTGTAATGGGGTACCACTCAAATGGTGGGTGATGGAGCTTCGTTTTCCACAAAACGAAATTTGGACCTCTCTCCTAGCCTCTGTGCCTCCTCATGGGAGAGAGAGCTAACTGAACTTTTCTGACATGGCCATTGTGATAATGAAGTGAGATAATGGAAGAGGAGAAAAAGTGATTTTTAAAAACATGGTAAGATTTCTTCTCAGGTGTAGAGTTCCACTGTAATAATTGCACACTGTTAGCCTCAGCCTAAAAATTGTGTTCATGTGTTAATTCACATTGTCTGTCAATGGAGGTTCCTGAAGTGACGTAAAGCATTTTTCCTCTTAAGGACCCAGAATTCCTTCTTTGATCTTGTACATTACCAATTTTCTTAATAGACTCTTCCCACCTGAATTATCGAAAGGTATTAAAGCACTGCCTGTCACCAAATTCATCTGAAAGGAGCAAAAGAGCTTTTCTTTTGAAAAATGTTGACATGCTGAATTTGCAAGGCTTTTCTTCTCTTTCCTAATTCAGGCTCCTCTTTCAGGCTTAATTTCTCTATGCCAGATTCCAATCTGAAAGGATTTCTCACTAATCTGAGGAGTATGCACGTAGTTTAGTTTTTGGTGACTTCCTTGGTTTAATTAATTTAAGGAAATTTGATAGCATCATTTTTTCCAATGTTACATTTTATCCGTCCTCCAATTGATGTGTCTAAAAGAAAAAATAAAAAACAAAAAACCCAACAACCTTTTTTAAAAACTCTTTTACTGATACCTGATTACAGTTTATTTTTAGTAGGGCTTAATATAAGTATAAAATACAATTTTATTATAACTTACCATTATTTATGTTCTCTTCTGGTGGTTTGACCTAGGAACAAATTTGAAAAATCAGCTAAGCATATCTTACAGATGACTTAAATCACTGAGCTCAAATAAAGAACTGCATTATTTTGGAAATTTTGCTTGAATTTAGAATTTACATTTCTATACTGTTCTATCAAAGTAGAATGAATATCAATTGACATCATTTCCATTTATAACCACAGAGGACTGGGTTGATGTGATTTGGGTAATATTTTACAAAGTCTTTCTTTTTCTTTTAAAAATTTTTAATTTTTTAAAAAATTATTTTTATTTTATCTTAAATTTATTTTTATTAAAGATTTATTTTATGTATAACTGATGTATAACTTTGTATAGCTTTAAGTTGTACAATGAGTTAAATTAAGGCATTTATATATTGTAATATAATTACCACCAGAGCATTAGCTAACACCTCTATCATGCCACAGAATCATAATTATTTTTTTGTGGTGGGAACAATTAAGATCTGTCTCTTAGCAACTTTGAAGTTGTGATACAGTATTGTTATCTATAGCAAAGTCTTTAAATGTTCTTTTTTTTTTTTTAAACACAAACTAACACCACATGGTCCATCTAAGCAAAGCTCCCTGTGAATGCATTATTAAATGGAAGATTTAGATCCCATTCAAATTCCACAAGATACTGGGGGCTCCTTAGTGGAGTGGGTCTGGGACCCACAGCCTGAGATGGAGCATACTTGACTTTCTCTGGTTTCTTTGTTTCTTTGTACAGTCTGGTAGAGCAAACCATCCTGAAACACAATGGTGACTTTTACAAGCCTTAGCAAAAAGGGGGTGCATTTTTTGTAGCCATTTTTGTTCGGTTTCTTTGTACCTGTGTATTCAGGTGGAGTGGAAAGGAACAGCTGTTCTGAGAGCTCCAACTGCAGGTGTAATCTCAGTGTCCTGGTTGTGTTTCCTATGTTCAGGAGACTTCTGGATACGGAGGATGAGCTCAGTGACATTCAGTCGGATGCAGTGCCTTCTGAGGTCCGAGACTGGCTGGCCTCCACCTTCACCAGGCAGATGGGGATGATGCTCAGAAGGAGTGAGGAGAAGCCACGGTTTAAGAGCATTGTCCATGCAGTGCAGGCTGGGATATTTGTGGAAAGGTAGGGAGGGCTGCCATTCAGTGATCAAAGCAGCAAAAAGGACACCAGTTTCCAATAACTGGAAGCTTTGCTTTGATGTAATTTTTGTATCTTTATAGACACTGAAAATGCTGGTGGAAACAGGTATTCTTGAAGGAGAGATTGCAAAAACGTATTTGTTTCATCTTTGTAGCATCATTAGGACAATTCTTTGCCTTTGCTCAGAACTTCTTTTGTTGACTAGAAAATATGTGGTGTCAGTTCAGTCTCCCATTTTTAAAAAAGAACATCATCTAATCCATCGTCCTTTGACATACATGGAACAGGGCAGGGATGCCTTGAGGTTGTTGACCTGGGGGGTGACAGTTTATTTAAAGGCTTTGAGTTCCCCATGATGCTTTCCAGTTTTGTTAGCCATTTTGCTCTTTAAATTAAATTGCCCCCTTCCCCAGAAACAGATTCCAGAAATTGATTTAGTTTTCCTACGATCATTATTTCACAAATCAATTTATTGTTCCCGTAATCCTTATTGCACATTTACAGGTCTTAGAAATGCCACATTCAGTTCAAAGGTCACCTGGGACATTTTCCTTCTTGTTTTTGAGAGTTCTAAAGAACAAGGTCTTCCAAATGAGTTGCCCATAGGTGTTCCTTATTCAGATTAAAGTACTCCTTTGCATACTATCTATGCTATACTATAATTCACTTCTGGCAGAAGAAGTGACCCATTTTAATAACTGAATTTCCAATTTGAGGCCTATTGATTAATTTTTGTTTGTTTCCAATGATTCATGTATTTAGAATTGCTTTAATTTCTCTTGAATGTAACTCTGTCTGAGGTCACTTGAATGACTGTGAAAAAGGTTATAAAAAACTGTTTCTTGGTTCACCGGCTGACCCAACTTCTCGTATTTGTCAGTACTTAGTGTAAATCTTCTTCATAAGAAATAATACTGCATTTTCCTCCCCTCTGACTTTGCCAGAATGTATAGAAGAACATCAAACATGGTTGGACTAAGCTACCCACCAGCTGTTATTGAAGCATTAAAGGTAATACCAAAAAAATATCTGACATGGTATCTTATAAGAGGTACAGTTATATTTGTTGTTAGAAAATAAAAGGCTTTCATTTATGGTTCACTTACAGGTTTCCCAGTCATTCCTGACTTATTCTTTCATTGTGTTTTACTTACCTGTTCTTACAGTATCATGATCTTTTTGCCTTTGGCTTGCTAATTTTTCTTCAGACTGTGTGGGTCTCATGCCTTTCTACATCACCATGGATGGGGTGGGGTCTTTGATGGGATCATAGTTGTATCATTATCTGATTATCTACTCTAAGTCCATTTTGTAGATGAAGAAACCGAGACTTAGTGAGATTTTTAAAAAGATACAGTTAACTAGAGCCAGAAGAACTAAGGTCTGATACCGGAGTTCCAATCACATAGTAAGCGTTCAATAACATTTTCCTCCGTGAATGTGTGTCCCCAGAACCTATATATGCTCCTGTTTACCCAAGACTCTCACGGAGCCTGAAAGTTCCATGGGAAGTTACACAGGTATTTGAGTTTCAATGAGCTAAATCTTGCAGAATTACTCCCACTCAGACAAGCTCTTAGAATTGTATAGAATATTCTCTAAGAGCCTCAAAGTGTCTGTATTCCTCTTAGGGCTGTGTCAGTTCAGGTTGGAGGTTGGAGGCTGTCCTGGCTGTGCTAAAGCTGATTTGGCTTCTGGATTTGAGTATGGGGGCTGTGCTAAGGGTCAGGATCACCCGGCCAGTTGACACTGCATGGTGTCTATACATGGAATCATGTCATCCATTTGCTTAGGGAGATCCTAGCATATGGATGCGTTTGTATGTGTTAAGATGGATTTATTTATTTATTTATTTATTTATTTATTTTTAAGATTTTGTTTATTTATTTGACAGAGAGACTGCGCGAGAGGGAACACAAGCAGGGGGAGTGGGAGAGGGAGAAGCAGGCTTCCTGGCGAGCAGGGAGCCTGATACGGGGCTCAATCCCAGGACCCTGGGATCATGACCTGAGCCGAAGGCAGACGCCTAATGACTGATGTACCCAGGCACCCCTTATTTATTTAGTTTAGAGAAAGAGAGAGAAAAAGAGCATAAGCAGGAGGAACAGAGGAAGAGGGAGAAAGAACCTCAAACAGACTTCCTGCTGAGTGTGGAGCCCAACATGTGGCTCAATACCATGACCTTGAGATGATGACTTGAGTTGAACCTGAGAGTAGGGCCTTTAACCAACTGCCCGCCCCAGGCGCCCCCATTCTTACTATTGTTATGGCTACGGTTGTCTATCTCTGCAATCTGAAACATGTATTACATGATACTTAAATTACCTACTTATGGAATCAGGGTTGGGAGAGCTTCATGATCAACTTAATGTCAAGAGAGACTTTTAGGGCCATTTTGATTTTGTATTTCAGTCTCTTTCTCTTGCCTAAAGACATTCACTAGTTAAATTTGTTAGACCCTATATTCAAATTGCCAGTTGTCCATTTTCTGTCTCTTAACTCATCCTAAGAACAGAAAAGATGCTCAAGAAGGACGCAGCAAGAAGACACATGTTTCTTCTCACTCCTCTTCAGTCCCCCCACCAGTGCCCAGTGCACCAGTGTAATTTACAGCCACATTTGCCATGTAATCAGTGAAATCACTGCATGAGATCTGATATTTCATAACACCCACTAGGAAGCTGCATTGGTTTTCATAACTGAACCCAAATCATTCAATGAAAGTCTTTGGGACATTAAAAGAATCCTTTATCTTTAATTTCTTCTCTTGTCATGAACATAAATACAGGTGGTTATACAAGTATTAAGACATTTATAAAAATATTTCCTCTGGATTGGAGCATCTTTTCTGTGCAAAATAACTGAAAAAGATGTGGAGCGACCGGGCGATATGAAGATCACTCTCAGATGCCCGCATGTTGTCTTTCTGAGGAGAAAGGAACCTAGATGATTCAGACCAAGATTAAATGCCGCTTATCTTAAGTACCCTTAAGTTAACTCCCTGAACGGCTACCCTTCTGCAGAAGTATTGCTGATCATGTGCGTAAGTCTAGAGCTGCGTTTTCTCTTGAGCCTGGCCCCTGTTTACTGGGGGATTTTAAGATCTTTTTACAAGGTAGTATTTCCCCCGCCCCTAGTCTCTGGTTTTATCTGCAGTGGATTGAAGATGAGTTGGCGGAATCGCACAGATATTTTCTTTCTTTCGTTTTTTTTTCTTTCTGTTTTTAGGTAGTACCTGTTTAAGAAACGGTTATTTCTACTTCACTGCCAGCAGTTTATATGAATTGGCCATTACTTTCTTCTATTACAGGAAAGTCCCCCCCCCCAACTGAGAGAGTATAATTCAGTAAAATAACTGTCATGCCACAGTCGTATTAACCTTTGTGATTAATGTGAGAACAGGGGATGAAATCACATTTAAGTAGGAGAATATCTACCACCACCACTTTTAATTTTTTCCATCCAATATATGCTAACTTCTGATTTGGGGGGGGTCTTATCTCTAGGCTTTTGAGGTGGGGTTACTGGAATTGTAGAAGTGTGTTGTTGTTTAGAAGGTGTCTGTTTTGTGACTTAAAAAGAGATACCCTTGGTAGAATCTAGGTTTAAAGTGGGAGGAAAAGAGGAGGTTCAGGCTTCCATTACATTAGACTGACAGGAAGTTCCTGAAGTTTTCCTCGGGAATGGGACTTGGGCCATGTCTGGTAAGAGAAGAAGAATGGCTTAAGATGGTTAAAGATGGTTAAACTCGGTCCTTGTTAAAAAGGCAGATTCTAGGTCCCAGGCCAGGATTCTGGAAGTCCCTCAGCTGAGAATCAACATTTTTTCCCTGAGCACTTCAGGTGGTTCTGTAGAACATTAAAATTTGAGAATCACGCGAAGGCTGTGATTAAAAATCACATAAAATGAGTAGCGGGACAGAACAACCAAGTGACTCTTCACACGCGTCCTGTTTCTCTAAGTCCTGAGATCCTGAATTGATTGTGACTTTTTACTGTGATCATTTCTCTGTTTTCAGTGATAGCTCTCCTCTTTTTTATTCATTCTGGAGAAGAAGAGTAAACATTGCAGATGTGACAAAATGTTTTCTCACCCGTTGAGTTGTCAGTGGACTTTTCCTTAGGACTAATGGATGTCATGACAACATCAATTATAGTAGCTAAGGTGAAGCTTTAGGTCTTGGGTTAATCCTAAAGGGCCCCACTGTCTATGGCCTAGGCCCTCTTGGGGTATGTAGGGCATGAGGCTTGGGTCACAGCATGTATTCATTGAGTTTATAATCTCATCTATTGACAATGATATCACTGTTGACAATGATGTCAGTGGTGTTACTACCTAGTTCTGGTACCAAATGGCATTAGACACTTCCTTAAAAGTGGGGGAAGTAACACCTATATGTAGGCTTATGAGGATGAGCAAATGTATATAAACCCTTTTCACTCTGCCTGGCACAGACAGTGTGCTTAGCTTGTAGCTATTTCTTTAGTTGTTATAATGGAGGAGAAATGTTAGAAGGCTGAGGTGAGGTTACCACTAAGAGTCAACTGAAACAAGCCAGTTGAAAGCCTTTTGGAAAAGTTTGGCTTTCCCTATATATACTTCAGTTTTCCTGTGCCCTCCTGTCCATGAGGGAGACCCTTAATAGCCTTGGGATGATCTTCAGTGGTTGGGATGTTTGAGGAAGGACAGGGTTGGGATAGATGGATGATGTTGGAATGCACTGAGGGCTGAGGTGAGAGCCCCTCAGGCCAGCAGTTCCAGAAGAGTCTCTTCTAGGGAACCATCTGACTTTTCCTGGACTCTGTGTGGTCTCACATGTGTCCTTGTGTGGTCTCACGTATGTCCACTTATGACAGCACACTTTCTATAACTACTGAAAGTGAAACTCTTCTTCTTCTTCTTCTTCTTTTTTTTTTTTTTTTTTTTTTTTTTTTTGGTAAGATTTTATTTATTTGTTAGAGAGAGAAGGAGAACAGGGGGAACAGCAGGCAGAGGGAGAAGCAGGCTCCAGGCTGAAGAAGGAGTCCAATGTGGGACTCGATCCCAGGACCCTGAGATCATGACCTGAACCAAAGGCAGGCACTTAACTGACTGAGCCACCCAGGCATCCCTGAAAGTGAAACTCTTGACACAAGAAAACCAAATGACTGTTGCTTTGGCTGCTGCTTAAACACACCTTTGTTTACTGTATCCACCGGTAGCTGGTTGTAAGTCAAAGACATATCAGACAATGTTTACATCTATTTTGAAGTAGCTATTTATAGACAAATAAGGCCTTGAACTTAAAGACTGATGTGTGAGGAGTGCATTCAGCTTAGCTCTCAGTTTTACTTTTTTTAGTAAAGTGACTCAAAGATTTGAGGAGTAGGTTCACAGATCAGTGACGCCAGAAGAGGTCACATTTTCCTGTTTTGTGAAATGAAGCCTTTCTCCATGGTTTTAGCTCAGCAGTTTGAACTGAAGGGACACATGATTTGTGTTCTGCATCGAACATGTTTCCTAAGACTTTTAAGTGGATTAACATAATCAACTGTGGGCTAAGAGGAAGTCAGGAGATAATAGTAAGGGACTGGGGAGATGTTTGCAATAGGGAAGCACTTTAGGTTGTCATGAAGTGAAATAAACGTTTGAAATTCAGCAGTAGTAGTGACAGGCTTAATGGAAAGAGCCTGAGCTTAGGCGTCTGTTGACCATGTTTGTGTCCTGATCCCACTTCATCCCTTGCAGTGCCCTTGTGATAGGTCTTAGGGAAATTAACTTCTCAGTTTTCTCATCTGTAAGATGTGACTAATAACACCTGCCATTTAGATTCGTTTTCAGGATACATTATGTATTTATTACTGATCACAATGCCTCACATATGGTAGGCACTCAATAAATTATAGTTGTTCTTATAAGTAGTAAGACTATTTAATTATGTTATTAGTAAATGCTATGTGGGTCTGCCAAGCTGGGAAAAGTTTGAGGGCAGAAATGGTGTTAGAGTCTTGGGCTGTGAAATCCTGGGTGAAGGTTGTGGGGCGAATCCCCAAGTGGGGAGACAGGTATCTGTACAAGTGGCTGGGGACTTAATGCATTCTTTCTCCCTTCCCTGCCATGCAGGATGTGGACAAGTGGTCCTTTGATGTCTTTTCCCTCAATGAGGCCAGCGGGGATCATGCACTGAAATTCATTTTTTATGAATTACTCACCCGTTATGATCTGATCAGCCGTTTCAAGGTCAGTGCCTACTTTTAAAAAATGCATGCGTTTGTCCATCTCTCTCTCCCTCTCTCTCTCTTTTTTTTTTTTTTAATATTTTATTTGTTTACTTTAGAGAGAGTGAGTGAGAAAGCAGGAGTTTGTGGGGGAAGGGGAGGCAGAACTGGACTCCCCACTGAGTAGGGAGCCCAATACGGGGCGTGATCCAAGGACTCAAGGATCATGACCTGAGCCAAAGGCGAGTGTCCAGATGCCCCACATTTGTCCATCCTTCCGTGACTTTTGGGCTAAGACCAAGGGAATCCTTTTAATATAGACTGAAGACTGCTGTGGGACATGGGAAGCATCCTCCAGACTGCCATTGCCCTGAAGTCTGTGGTGGTGGGAATGTGTCCTTAAGCCCCTGCCGGGTGGGGTTCGCAGCAGGCGAGAGGATGGATCTGCACAGTTTGGTCCCAGTCTTCCTAGAAGTACAGCCCGAAGTGTGGGCTAGCGGGACTCCTCGCAGATCTCATTTCAGCCTGATGTCGTGTACTGTCCATCACTGCTGGCGTGGAGACAGTAACGGAGACAGACTGAGCATCTGCTGTCTCTGCAAACTTTTTTTCCCACCCCTTGGCTCAAGCATAGACAAATGCTCTCACTTATCATCCATGACAGGTCACTGGTATTTCCCAGCCATTCATGCTTCAAATTAATTCTTCAACTTTAAGTAAAGAACATGAATCGTTTCCAGCGTTCAATCCCCTCCGCTTTGTAATACCACCGACTCTAGGAGTCAGGCCAGGTTCTCCAGGGCATCTGTGCATTTGTCTGGTGACATCTCTCCTATCGTGCTCTTCAGACTTCTCTCATCATGGGGGTGAGCCTTTGGGAAATGCAGGGTTTTTTTTTTTTTTTTTAACATAACATTGATTTCTCTAGACAGCATGGTTCTTTATCATTTTCCTAAGGACCGTGTACTTGGGAGCATGTTTCCTACATAGCCATAAATGCTCTATTTATGGTTCTTAATTTCTTTGTGTCAGAAATGGGCCTGAGAATCTGATGGGTGCGCAGGACCCTTCCCACAGAACAAAGCGTGTGCACATATGCACACCTTTACCTGTCATTTTCTTGGCTCATGGATCTCTCACGAACAGCCCCGGGAACCTGGGCTTATTGGATATTCGTTTTTAAAACTGATAATGAATTAATCTCTGACATAGGAGAGGCAATATTTAAATTTTTAAGAATCCACAAATGGTAAATATGGAAGGATCTGCTCAAGGAAGAACATGTTATAGACTCTGCTGAAGCATTACAGTAAAGCATTTTCCTGATTTTTTTTTTTTTCTTCCTAACGTGCTTATTGGTCTCCTGGAACCGATGCCCTCTCTTTTTCCCCCAGGGTTGTATTTGGTAACTAACCCTAAGCCAAGGAATTAACCCAAAAAGGAAATATGATGAATGTTTTCAGGGTCCCCTTCTTTTGTACAGGCATTTTGTAGTTGTTCCTTATTTTCTGCCACATAGAAAATGAAGGTACCTATAGTATACGTATTTGAGACAGAAAAGGAATTAGGCTAATTGGAAATATTATTCCAAAAATTGTAATGCAACAATTATAAATTGCCAAGCAATAGACATAAGAACACAGTCTGTTTCTGTTCTTGTACAGAACAGGCTATCACATGTTTTGTTTTGTTTTTTAACGCGTGTCCAGTGCATACAATCACTCCTTCTAGAGGGCCCAGTTTTCAGGAGGCGGCAGCTCATGTTTGTTTTGCAGACATTTTACAACTTCAGATTTTTATGTATTTTATGTTTTCCCACAAAATACATGAGCTGTGCTACCCGGTATGTATCTGTTTATTTCTCAAGAAATAAAAGGCTCGAACCTTTGCTCGAAAAAGAGATGAACACATACCCTTCCGCCCTAAATATCTTTGAGGTGATTCTGGGGTTCTGGACTGAGAACAACAAAAACAACAACAAAAAACCATTCACAGGTCAGACTGTTCTTAACCTAGGGACTTCCTATGAGATTTTCAAATCATCTCTAATTTCTTCAGTAGTTTTTGCTAATTTTGAAAAGTTCCAGTCTCTTCATGCGCAATGTTATGCTTCCAGAAAGATGCCGCTCGAGTGATTTCGACTTCTGCTTCCTCACTTAAAGCTACAAAACCACTGACTACTTAACCTTACTGCTCTCTTTCAGATCCCCATTTCTGCCCTTGTCTCATTTGTGGAGGCTCTGGAAGTAGGATACACTAAGCATAAAAATCCATACCATAATTTAATGCACGCCGCCGATGTTACACAGACTGTGCATTACCTCCTTTATAAGACAGGAGTGGCGGTAAGTACTGATAGGAACTCAAAGATGACACAAAAGATGTGATGATGATTCTTTTGTTTTTGTTTTTGTTTTTAAAGATTTTATTTATTTATTTGACGGAGATCACAAGTAGACAGAGAGGCAGGCGGTGGGGGGTGGGGAAGCAGGCTCCCCACTGAGCGGAGAGCCTGAAGCAGGGCTCAGTCCCAGGACCCTGAGATCATGACCTGAGCTGAAGGCAGAGGCTTAACCCACTGAGCTACCCAGGCACCCCATGATGATTCTTTTTATTGGAGGCTGTTCCTATTCTGATGTGGTTGGGCCCACAAGAAGTGCACTGGGGCGTGGACTTCCTGCTCCCCAAGAGTTGTCTAACCAATCACCGAAGGTCTTGGAGTTCCTTGTAGCCTCTGATATTTTCTTCATCCTGGACTTAATTAAATAAATATGTGGTAGTGACTTGCGTCTTTATTAGGCTATGACCAAATTAAATATAATTAAATATAGTTCTAGAAATATAGTTCTAGAAATTTCTAGAACTAAATATGTATTTCCAGATATGAAGAGTGGTACTATTAACCTCTTGCTACGGTCAGTCACAGCGCTATCCATGCATACTGAAATCATATCAAGTGTGCCTGGTGACCATATTGCACAAAGTTAGCTTTTGGTTAAAACCATTTGATCTTCTTCATGAGGATTACAGTTTTTTCTTATCCTATTTTTTGTGTGTTCAATATGTTTGACCTTAGGGGCAATCTTTACTTCTCATCATCTGAAATTTTTCTTACTTGTTTTGACCCAACATTTCAGCACTTTAGATGTCTTTGAATCTCTGTTCTGTAATCCATTGTATGAACTGGCTTGTTTAACGTGGTTATCTGTCCCTTTGCCCTCTTTACCTTCATGAAAGCTGTTAATTTTACACGATACAGCTATTAGTGACAAACAGCTTGTTCTCTGTTTTAGGTCTCTATGAGTTTTTCCTTTGAAATCTTCAGAGTCGACATCAAGGTAGACATTGTTTGGTTATGGTTATTAATTAGCCCATAAACTCAACACATTTGTTATTTTTTCCTCTAGGGCATGTTGAAAGGCTTGGTCTAATATCTCACTGAATTAAAAATGGAACACAGTGGGAGGAGTGTGGGCTTTGGAGCTAGATATAGTGGGATATAAATCCTTGAGTAGTTACTTATTAGATTTAGTGACCTATGATAAATTGCTTAAATCTCTGAGGCAGGATTTCCTCATTTTTAAAATGGTGAAAAATATTCTATCTTGTAGGAAAACTGTGACGGTTAGGAATAAACTATCAGAAATAGGAAGTGCTCTGTCTGTCTCATGAAGGAAGCTCAACAGTTAGAAATTGTTTTTAGTGAAACTTTGCTGAATTTTCCCAAAACCTCTCAACAATTTTCAGTTCTTCCTTATTATAAAGCTGGTGTCTTGAAAATATTATTTTAAATTTTTAAGAAATATTTTATTTGTTTATTTGACAGAGAGAGACACAGTGAGAGAGGGAACACAAGGAGAGGGAGTGGGAGAGGGAGAAGCAGGCTTCCTGTGGAGCAGGGAACCCAATGTAGGGATCCATCCCAGGATCTTGGGATCATGACCTGAGCCGAAGGCAGACACTTAACAACTGAGCCACCCAGGCATCCTGAAATATTATTTTAAAAAGCTATAATTTTTTTAAAAAGCTATAATTTTTTAAATTATAGAAACACTATCAAGGGGACCTGTTTAATGTGATAAAAATTTCTGTCACAAGCATAGAGCAGACTTAGTTAATGGTGGTTCCTAGAAAACATGGAGCAAAACAGGGATGGCTACACTAATGTTGTTATTGAGCATTTTTCTGGAGGTCTCAGAAAATGCAATCTAGTATCTAAAAAAGTTGAAGTATCCTGTGAAAATAGTTTGACCATCTCTTAAAAAAAAAAATAAGAAAATCAACTACAAATTATTAGATCAAATAAAAGGCCTCAATCAGATGTCGATAAAATAACTGTCCTAGGGGACCTGGGGGGCTCAGTTGGTTGAGCGTCTGCCTTCAGCTCAGGTCATGACCTCAGGGTCCTGGGATCAACCCTCCCTTCAGGCTCCTTGCTCAGCAGGGAGTCTTGCTTCTCCCTCTGCTCCTCCCCCCACTAATTCTCTCTCTCACATAAATAAATAAAATCTTAAAAAAAAAAAAAGCTGTCTTAGACATTGGAAATTAACAAGTATAATAAAGGAACATACCTTCCAGAGAGTTTTTTTTTTTAAACTGATAAATTACTAATGAAGAACTTAAAAACTGATAAAAAGGAAACTATAAAACTAAATTAAAGAGCAGTAAAACAATGTTAAAATAAGAAAGGAAATACATTATGTTTTTAATGCAAAGCTTCAGTATTATATAGATGTCAATTTTCTTCAAACTAATCTGTAAATTCAAAGCAATACCAATAAAGACTAATGAAACATGATAAGCTGAGCCTGAAATTTATGTAAAATAGACATTTCACAACTTTAGAAAAAAACGGTCTTGAAAAAGACAATGTATGCTGTGATGATGTAGTTCTTATTCTATTAGGTGTTAAAATATCTACTGAAGCTATAGTAATAAAGATAGGGTGGTATGTGTGCAAAAATCACTAAATATATGAATGAACTAGACAAAAATATTTATTGAGCACAGTTTGATTTAGACATGTTGAGTTTCAGGTCCTCATTAGACATCATTGTGGAACTCTCAAGCAGGAAGAGAACCAATGGAATCTAGAGCTCTGGGAAGAGGTCAGGGATGGACATGTAGATTAGGCAATGTTAGCCCTATCAATATTATAGAAAGATGGAATTAATTGAGATCATCTAAAGAGCGAGTGTGAATAGGATGTAGTAGGGGCTCTGAAGTGAGTCCTGGGGCAACCTAAAGTTTAAAATGAAGGTAAGAAATTAGAGCCAACAATAGTAACTAAAACGGAGTGGTCAGTGATGTTAGATAAAAGCCAACAGAGTGTGGGGTCATGGAAGCCAAGGCGAGTAAGTGCTTCAAAAGAGAATAGTGAATTGTGTGGGACATGACAAAATGTCAAGTAGGATGAGGATAGATAAGTGATCACTGCCTTTGGCCACATGGAAGTCATTAGTGCCCTTGACAGGAGTGGTCTCAGGGCTTTGGTGAGGGTGGACCACTGACCAGAGTATAATGAAGAAATAATTCAAGTGAGAAGGTAAGGACAAGTCTATAGACAACAACATTACAGGGAAAAATGACTCAGTTCAAAAAATGTTTTGGGAACTATGGTTCATTGGGAAAGAAAAGAATGTTTTTGTTCTACTTTAAACCAATCACCAAATATTGGGAAAATGAATTAAAGATTTGAATACAAAAAAATTTGATCATATTAGAAGAAGATATGAGAGTATGTTTATTTCCTTGAAACAGGAAAATCTTTGTTATATAAGCCTCAAAACACAAGTTACATAAAAATATTGATCAAACTGAATGTATTAAAATTAAAACCTATAGGATAGAATCACCATAATGATGTAAGTACTTGAGGAAAATATAGGATTAAGATCCAGATTATATAAAGGAATCAACAAGAAAATGACAGAAATTCAGTAGAAAAATAGGAGGAAACCCATTCACAGAGTTAAGATTGCCCTGTTATAAAGTCTGTCATAGGCAGAATTTTGTCTTTCCCCTCCCCTGCCCCCAGTTTATATTGTTGGAAGTCCTAATCTCCAGTGCCTCAGAATGTGACTGCATTTGGATGGACGGTCTTTAAAGAGGTATTTTAGGTCACATGGGTGGTCCTGATCCAGTATGACTGCTGTCCTTATACAAGGAGGAGATTAAGATTACAGACATGCTCACGCACAGAGGAAAGACCATGTGAGGACACAGCACAAAGATGACCATCTGCAACCTGGACAAGGGCTCTCACCCAAACTGACCCTGCCAATACTTTGATTGTGGACTTCTAGCTTCCAGACTATGAGAAAATAAACTTCTGTGGTTTAAGCTGCCTAGTGGGTGGCATTTTGTTATGGCAGCCAAACGGAGGAGCAGAGTTAGGATTTGATCCCAGGACTGACTTCTCTCTCTCTCTCTCTCTTTTTTTAAAAGATTTTATTTATAACACCATGCATTTAAATATTTAGCCATACTTCTACAATGCCTGTGGTCAAAAAAAAAAAAAAAAAAAAAGGCGCGCCTGATATTCTTACACCTCAGTATCCTCATGTGATACTTGCAGGTATCCTGTTGAGGATGAGCATAGATGGGCAAATTGCACTCATCTATTCAACATATATTTAGTTAGTACCTGCTGTGTACAACGTACTATGGAGATAAAAAGTGAATCATACACAGCTTTTCTAGCCCTCAGGAAAAACTCCCAAGTATTTATGCTAATGCAAGTTATCATTAACATGAATGTTACAGCAGCCAACGATCGTGACGTTCAGCGTGCTGTTCTTAAACGAGCGCATTTGCCATTGAATTTTCATTATCAATTCAGGCCATATTCAGAATCATTCTTAAATATAGAAACTACTTCCCACCCACTCTCTCTTAGAAATGCAGCTCAAAACAAACTGCTTTCCTTGCAAGCTTCCAGAAACAGTGGGGAGCATCCTGATGAATGGAGAACGTATTGTGACTCTAACCTTTCATTACAAACCAGGAGGGGGAAATGCTTTAAATCATTTCAGTTTTATAAACTGTAAGACACATAGGGAATCAAAACATCCCATTGATAAAGTGATGTCTGGGCTGCAACATCAACAGTATTACTCATTGTAATCTGTTTATATTACTCATTATTGCTTTACTTAGACGCCAAGAAGATGTTTGAATCCTTTCAGAATTATTTCACCCACTTTTAAGGGAAAAATCCTTGAACAGAATTAGACTGAAAAGTTGTTGATTGAATAAATATGAATCAGACTTTGAGCTCTAGTCAAATTTTGATTTAGGTCAAAGGATTCCAAACTCCAAAGCCATCCCTTGGCCCCTTTCATTGCTTTTGTTAGGCAAGTGCCATTAATTTTCCTTTTGCTTGTTTATTATTATTTTTTTTTTAGAGGGGAGAGGCTGTGTATCTTGTTCTTTTGATCATATCTGTCATCATCGTATTTACACGGGAAACACTAAATGGCTAAGGAGTGCTTAATAATTTTATAAATGTTTGTGGTCAGTAGAATTTTGGCCCCCATGACCTTTGCCCTCTGTTGTAACACTAAAACACAAATACAGTGAAGATTACTAATCCAAGGACCGGTAAAATCTAGGGAGATGATTCCCCAGGTGGGCCCAGTGTAATCTTGTGGGTCCTTGAAAGTCCAGAGGCAGGACACAGGAGCTGCGAGGACTCAGCCAGCTGTTGCCAGCTTGAAGATGGAGGGAGCCAAGTGGATGGAAAGTCTGAGAAGGAAATGAAATTTGCCAATGCCCTGAATGTACCTGGAAACAGATTTTTCCACAGCGCTTCCAGAAAAGAACACAGGCCTGCCAACACCTTGATTTCAGCCATGTGAGGTCCTCACTGGAAAAATCCAGCCACACTCTGCTGCCTCCTGACCTCCAGAACTTTGTGCCAATAAATGGGAGATGTTCTTTGAGCCTTAAGTTTGTGGCAATTTAAGGTAACAATAGGAAACTAATACAGGGATGGAAACATTACTAAAGAATCTGTCATTCACATACAAAACCCGCAACTTGTGAATAATGTCCCCTCAAGCAGTTTTGCCGATGTTGCTTTCCTTCACTATCCACTACCACCCCTTGCCCCCATGCCCATGCACACAGGGCTTACTTCCTGAAGTCCATCACTACCAGTTGTCCCTGTCATTGAATTCGTTGTGACACTCATTTTATGTGGATAGAAAATACTGATTGAACCTGTGGCTTGTACCTTGTCACGCTTTGATAAGTCTGGAATAAAATTCATGCCATATTTAATTTCTTACTTCTTATGGGTTGTCACAAAATCTTCTGGGTTCACAGTAATTAACTGGGAAAAGACAAGAAAATCTGGACCATATTAAAATATGAAGCCTTGCAGGGTGCCTGGGTGGTTCAGTCAGTTAAGTGTCTGCCTTCAGCTGAGGTCATGATCTCTGGGTCCTGAGCTTCCTGCCCAGTGGGGAACCTGCTTCTCCCTCTCCCTTTGTCCCTGTCCTCCCCCAGTCCCCGCGCATGCTCTCTCTCTCTCTCAAATAAGTGAAGCCTAGTTTCCCTCAAAACAACTTCTCCATCTCTGTCTCTTTTAATGATGCTATTTAATGCCACCCATCATTTTTTTTTTTGTTTTGTGTTTTGTATTTTTGTCACTCAGGCTAGGAATGTTAGGGTCATTTTTAATTCATTCTTCTCCTTGACTGCAACTTCTTCCTCCCTCCCGTATTCAGTTAATTGCTAAGCCATATGAATTCTAGCTTCATACTGTCTATACATCCTCTAAGGACTTTCCCATGCAAAAGTACTGCTCTGGTTTCTCTCCATCAGTGGCATGCTGACCATGCTGCCCTCTTGCATCATTGCCTGCTGGATCTGATTTGTGTTCCTCACTCTGGCTTTTAATGCCTGAAACCACAGGGCTCTAATCAGCTCTAACTGCCATTCCACTAGAGGGACTCATTTCCTTACCCATGATGAATCCCCTTTTGACACTGGGACTAGCTCATGTGTTCATTCTTCTGGAAATGTCCACTGCCATTTGTTGTTCGGTCCATTCTTCAGGGCCCATCTGTGAAGATCTTCTTTATCTTTTCTTTTCTTTTTCTTCTTTACTTCTCTTTTTCTCTCTTTCCTCCCTCCCTTCTCCTCCCCATTTTCTTTCCATCCTTCCTTGCCAGGTACCATCTGTCCTTTCTTCTTATCCTCAAACAGCAGAACCAATTTCAGAGCATCCACAGGGTTTGTTGAAAAGCAAGGGTTTTAAAATGACTTTTATAGACTACGGTTTTATTTTTTGTTGTTGCTTATTTAAAGCATTTGTTGATTTTGGTTTATTGGAAGTGGGCTACACCTAAGATAGGATCTTATTAGTATATTTGGGGAAAGGGGAGAAGTTACACTGATATTTATAATGTGAGAACCGTAATTATGTAGTTATTTAGACACCTGCTGTCTGGGTTGATGCTCTGTGATTCAGATTTGTTTAGATGGTATATTGGCTCTCAGTCATAATCTTTTTATTGATTGATTTATTGATTTCACAATAGAAAAAAAAATCTGCCCTTTTATTTATTTGTTTATTTATCCATGAGTTTAAATCCTTGAAGGGTATAGCATAGCACAGGTTCTATGTCCAAAGGCCTTACAGGAAGTTTGCTTTGGAATTTGGCATGAGTCATGTCACTGTTTTCATGAGTATGAGTTACCTTTCCTCGGATGACTTGGGTTTTGTTGGGTTCGCCACCAGGAGTCACCTTTTCCTTTGTACACATGAGCACTCTCTTGCCTAGACAGAATTCGGTTTCATCTTGGGTATAAGCACTTCCAGAGACCTACTTAGAGCCAACAGAAACAGCCTCAGGCTACAGTGTTCCAGACATATTTGTCATTTTAGAAGTTCTGTTCCAAGCAGGGCTCGACAGGTTCCAAGATAACCTCATAATCTTATTTTAAAATGTTAAGTTAACTTTGCATAAGTTTGGAGAAAGAGCTATGCTGGTGGTGAGGGGGTAGGTAAAGGGAGTTGAGGCTGATGGGTGGAGACAGGGTACTGGGGAAGGATTGAAAGAAATGGCCAAAATGGGAAAAAAAAAAAAATATATATATATATATATATATATATATATGTTATATGTGTGTGTGTGTGTGTGTGTGTGTGTAAAAATACCAAGAACATGTGTAATATAAGCTGCCAGACAATGCTGCCTCTGGTGGTCCAGGGAACACAATTTGAGAACCTTGGACTATAGTCAGTTTCGGTGGCATGGTTGGGGGGGGTGTCTCTTCAAACATCAGGGTACATAAAGCAGAAGGCTGGGTTTGTCTTTCCTTCTGTCTACGTACAACCACTTTGTAGTAGATATACATTAGGTTTTCTGTTACTCTTAATTCTTGGTATTGTGTTGAAAATTTTAATGTATTTTTTTTCCATGTCTACCAGGTATCTTGGAATTTAGGAAAGAATACATGAGGGTTTTTAAAGTCTTCATGTTCCTTGTTTTTTGCTTCCTTGGGAAAAACAAAACAAAACAAAACAAACAACTACTAGTTAGCTTTCTCAACTTTGCTGGGCATGCTACTTCCAGATACCATATTCCTCAGTCTCCACATAGGGGAAAAAAAGAAATTCCGTCTGTCAGAAAACGTGTGTTTGGCGGTAGCTTGCCAGCTGCAGGGTGGAAAGGCAGTGACGCGGGTGTGTTGTCAGCAAGCTGAAGACGGTGTCGGAGAAAGAGATTATCTGATTGCCCTGCAAATTCCCTTTCAGAACTGGCTGACAGAGCTGGAGATCTTTGCTATCATCTTCTCAGCTGCCATTCACGACTATGAGCACACCGGAACCACCAACAATTTCCACATTCAGACACGGTGAGGATGTTGGATGTTTGGAGAGGAGGCAGGAGGGGGCAGGGATAGAGTTTGAGAAGTCGGAAAGGTATCAGTCACCCTTGTTTTGCATGGTTACTCTGTTTTGCTTTTCTGAAAAAGAGAACTTTTCCACAAGAGATCAACCTGGTCAGCTTCGGTCAAGATTTAGAGTTTGAGAAGGCATGTGCTCCCAGTGCTCCTATGTTATCCCCATGAAATACGGATATCCTCTTCTTCTCTACTGGAATGCTAGCTCTTTGTTTCCCTATGTATGCATTGTGCACACTCTACATGTCTCTACTACATGAAAGAACAGTTGGCACAAAGGTGCGGAGGCCAGGTAGACCGAATTAGTAAGGATGGGTTGGGATCGGGATGTTTCTGTCCATACGTACAATACCTGAGCCTTCTTGCCCTGTGACCTCTGGGATTCTGGGGACACTCTTCCTTCCTGATCTCATCCCTGCTGTCTTTAGTACTTGCATTGCTCCCTGGCAGAGGGCTTGGGGAGCTCGGTTGTCTAATGCAGACCACCTTCACCATAGATCTGTGTATTCACTATAAGAACTGCAGAGGTAAACCCACGTCTCTGTGGGGGGAATTAAGTACGGGTTCAAGTGCTCAACTCTGAACCTCTTGACTATAACAGACATCGCTAATCAATTTTTTTTCTTGACCAAGCTTCGTATTTATCTTTAGTATTCCTCTCAGCACAGGATTCCAGACAAGCAGTACCATTCACTTGTCTTTTCCGTTTAGGATGAATCCTTATCTGTCCTGTCCTAGCCTAAGAAGTTGCCTTCCCTTAAGACGGTTCTAGGAAGCTGGAGAGACTCTGATAGTAGGGTTAATTGGGCCTTGACATAGTAATCAAAAGAAGCTAGAATTTGGGGGAAGGTGGCATGGCTAAGAGGAAGAATGGAGCAGGGAGAGATGAGAATTTGAATAAATACTTGAGGTTTCACTTGAAAAAAGCAGGTGCCCACACCAGATAGGTTTGTGTTCATTAAATCAATCTACATGTATTTAATGAACCCAACACTTCATTATGGGGAACACAAAAGAAGACAGTATTGTCTGATCTCTGTTCAGAAGGGGAATTTCAATAGAATGGCAGCAGACAAAAGGATGTAAGCCGCTAGTTTCATTGTCTGCCTCCCGCTTCCTCACACAGAAGAGCCCAGCTGCTGGGAAGCAGCCTTTTGTGGTTCTGTGGCAAGGGCTTGAAATACAGGGAATGCCACGGAGCAGCTCTGTTTCGTGGATGTCTACAAGTGGAATCTTTGCTCTGAGGACAGAGGCTGTGGTGAACAGCATCTGCTGAAGGAAGAGAGGTGTGTGGAGCAACTGTGTCTTTGCTGGAGCCCAATACCAAAACCCATCTCCACTCAGAGGAAATGGCTTAATTACAGCAGCTGGAAAAGAGCTTAATGTCACAAAATGCACATCACTTGGAGCCTGTCTTCACAGATACATGATCAGATCTCTCACCACAGGGATTGCACATTTTGTGTTATCTCCATAGGAGTGAGGAAATTCCAGTGGATTCAGTTACGCTTGCTTTGGAATAAAATTTAAGCATTGGCCTTCTTTAACAGAACTTTATTCAAAGCGTCTCAGCCCGTGTGAGCCCCATACAGAGAACTAAATCTGTAAGCAGGTCTTTGTCCTTTGATAGTATGTTAAGCCTAACACTTTAAAGCTATGCCAGATATATCCCAAAGGTTGGCCAATGACAGGCACAAGTTATTGGGGGGAGCAATGGCTGAACGGTCAGAAGGCCTTGCCTTCATCTCAACCCTACCATGTAGGCACTGTGGGGCTCTCTGAAGTCATTTTACATCACTGAGACTCAGCTTCCTTGATGAGAAACAAATAAGCTATAATCATCTAAGTTTTAACTGAATTGAAGATATTGAAAGAGTGTACAGCTCTGTGTTTGGTGCAGTGGTCTGTGAAGAAGTGACTAGCAACTGTCCTATAATCCTATATTCTTTACTCTCAATCTTACACATATGTCTTCCATATGGCAAAATGTTAAGATCAAGGTACTACTACCAGAGGAACTTGGCAAACTGTACCTACCAGGTGGCACGTGTTCAGAAAATTATAATGATAATAAATAAATTCTTTCATTGAATAAAATTTTTAAAAACTGAAGGCATTCCAGAAAATAGAAGGAAGTTTGAGTTGACCAACGTTTTATGAAATCCCCTATGTTAGTGGTAGAAATCATTGAAGTCTGGTTATGGAACAGCTTTCAGAGAGTTCTCAGTGTGATATCACATATTTCATGTTAACATATTGACATTAAAATATCTTGCATATATCTCTTGATAATTTGTACTGCTGGTTTTAGCTTATTGGTTGGCATAAGTGACATGGGGGCAAAGATAATTGTTAAACATAGGAAAAAAGATGGTGTGTTCTAGCTTGAGAGAGTCACCTGAAAAATCTCAACCATTTAACATCCTGAATTATTTTGGCTTGGCTTTCTGTTCAGGTCTGACCCTGCTATTCTGTACAACGATAGGTCTGTATTAGAAAATCACCATTTAAGTGCGGCTTACCGCCTTCTGCAAGAAGATGAGGAAATGAATATTTTGATCAACCTCTCAAAGGATGACTGGAGGTAAGGATGAGACAGGAGAGAGATTTGGAGGCCAGGAAAGGAACCATGAGGAGAGATGAAGTATGTTGCTTTTGGAGAAATAGTACCACTTGAACTGTTTATGTCACCCTTTCTCTCTCCTCCTTTCTCCTTATCCCGTCTCCCTCATTCCCTCCTCTTCACCCCTCCTCTCCCTTTTCTCTCTCTCCCCTTTCTCTTTCCTCCCTGCCTTCTCTCTCTCTCTTTCTTTTTTTCTTAACACAATTATTTAAATATATCATAGGCACTTTGGAAATACTTGCTTCTTGTTATGTTAGGAAACTTGTATTGCTTTTGTCTTAGCTTTTTAAATCTGGGTTTTTTTCTTTTAACCTTTGTTTTTCGCCTTCTATTAGATTTGAACTTCTCTTAAAAATCTTTCCAGACTTGCTAAGGAAATTATTTTGACACTCAGTACAAATCATGAGTACCTAATTCTGTTGCCTAAATGACATTGTGTGTCTTTGAATGAATTTAGGCACACCTGAGCTTGAATACGGACACAATCACTAGTTGTATGACATTTAGGAAGTTATTTAAACCCTTCACACTGTTGTAAAATTTAATTTCTAGAAAACAGATAACAAAATATACCTCATGGTTTGGTTAATGTTATAATAAACTATATAATCCATTGAAAATGCTTAGCACACATTGTGATGTATATAGCAGGCCTTCAAGTTTTTTGTAGCTACAAATACAGGTCAAGGTATTTCAAAGATTAGAGGCAAAACCATTCAAAGCCATTCAAAGTTCTGAATCTACTGCAGTGCAAATAGTACTTACATTTTAATTAAGTGATCAACTATTCATTGACTATCTTTGTGCCAGCCAATATGTAAAGATCCGGAGAAATAAGCTATACTGTGTGATATGTATGTCCCACATGTCATATTCCTAATAAATGATTTCCTTAATTCTTAACCTTCACTTACTCCTCATTAAAAAAAAAAGTCCACCTAAAAGGCTCAAGTTGATTAGAATTGTCACCACTAATTAACTGCTTTTGCTTAAAAGTGGCAAAAAACGAATTTTTACTTTCCATTTTTTTACTTCCATGTTTCTCTCTCCATGTGTCTCTGAAAGGGAGTTTCGGACCTTGGTAATTGAGATGGTGATGGCCACGGACATGTCCTGTCATTTCCAACAGATCAAAGCAATGAAGACTGCTTTGCAACAGCCAGAAGCGTGAGTGGACCTGTGACATCATGAGTTTTCATAGGTGTTTGAACTGGTACTTGTCCATGTTGTCGTACCCTTCTTCAGAGAGCTTCCCTGAATGGTCTCATGAAGTGGGCTGGTGGAGGAGAGAACCTGACAGTTGTACTTGTCACACGTAGATTTTCATCAGGGTTGAAATAAATCGTAGGGCCAGTAACAATTTGTCCCCAGTTAAGAATTTAAAAGAATTCTTTGTGGGAAACTAAGCCATCAAAGATTCACTTGGTACAGGGGCAACAAAAGTCTGTGAGTGACTCGTAGATCCTTGATGTTTTTTTGAACGATGCAGTCATTCCAAAATTGTTTTGAGTCGGTTTATGAGGTGTCCAGCTCAGTAAGCATGGAGACCAAGCTGATGAATGTCCCAGCTGTAGGATGAAATGATGCTTTCCCCCCAGTTCAGCCGATGTGGGGTTTGAGATGGGAGAATGGAAGAGATTAAGAAATTAATGATTTTTAAAAACTCTTATTGAGGTTCTGAAAATTTGGTTATCACGTGTCTGGGTCGTTTGCATTTTTAGAATTGAAAAGCCGAAAGCATTATCTCTGATGTTGCACACGGCAGACATTAGCCATCCCGCAAAAGCATGGGAGCTCCATCATCGCTGGACAATGTCACTCCTGGAGGAATTCTTCAGACAGGTATCTTGTTGTACTACTCCTCAAGGCCATCAGCCCTATCGAGATAGTTTCTGAGTATTCTATTTCAGCAATGCTATAATAAGACAACTGGCATTACAATCATTTTCTTTGGGGAGGAAGGGTTGATAGCTTTTTTTTTTTTTTAATTTCCTGGCCTCTTGCTCATGTGATGTTTGACTCTTACCTAAATTTTGGTTCTCAGAACATTATGGTGTTTCTGTCCTATGCATTTCTGTTTGGAAAAAAAATTTCTCTTTGTCAGTTTCTTGTCAAAATGTCGCCTGGGTACTTTTCCTTTTACTCATCGTGCTAATGGGCTGACAAAATAACGGTTGCTTTTGCATCATTGTGTGAGATTAAGAGGTTAATCTTTAACTTATAGTGATCTATTATAATAGATTATGTTGTTTCTTTGGAGCAGATAAGCCATGTTGTCAAATTCCATGTTGTCAAAAAAGTGAGGTGTGGCAATTTTTTTTTTTAAGATTTTTATTTATTTATTTGACAGAGAGAGAGAGAGATCACAAGTAGGTAGTGAGAGAGGGGAGCAGGCTCCCCACCGAGCAGAGAGCCGGATGTAGGACTCGATCCCAGGACCCCGAGATCATGACCTGAGCTGAAGGCAGAGGCTTAACCCACTGAGCCACCCAGGCGTTCCGAGGTGTGGCAATTTGTGGTCAGGAAACCACTAGAAGCTACTGTGAATTATGTTTAAACATACTACCTCCTAAAACTCAGGGTTGTGTTTTATAAAAGGGTAGCCAGAGTTTTTTGTGAGTAGGCAATGCTTTTAAAAAAATTTTTTTAAAAGGTACATAGAAGTAGAGAAATCAGGAAGTTAATACGTAGTATCAAAACTGGTATCTTCTCAAGAAAAGCTGCCTTTAAAACATGTGCTTCAAGACATGAGGTCCTGAGATTGAAGGCAAGATGACTTGCAGACTGGGGGGTCTCCATGATAGAAATTCACATCAGTGCAGTTAATTTAGTTACTTCTGACACTTCTTGAAGAGTGGTGCACGTCATGGACTAGGAGACCTCTGAGACCAAACAAAACACTGCTCATGACACTGGTCTCAACCTTGTCCCCTAACCTGACAAACGATGGGCTCTTTCAGTGGTTACTCAATTTCTGGAAGCAAATTTCTCCTGTGATTACTCTTATTCTATGATTCTGGTTTGAATGGAAAAATTATAAAAGGCATCTGTACGTGTGTGTTTTTTCTTCTGAAACTGTACACAGTATCTAGTGATGAGGTGGGACCAGAATCAACAGCGTATTCAACAAAGTCCAGAAGACCCTTATTGGAGTTTTAGTTCCAACTGCTTCATGGGGCTAATGGAATCCCTCTGCTAGTTCCCAATGGTCTTATCTGTGACTTGTGTTTTAGGAGGTGGTGGCAGCAAGAAGGAGTTAGGGGAAGATTGGGCCAGATATTTCCTTTGGATCCTTCTGGCATTAAATGTTCTATACTCCCTCCTGTGCATCTCAACACCTGCACACACATGCTCCCCTAAGCTGTTATGTGAATATACCATCAGGTACCCTATCCTGCATATGGCTGTTTCCCCGTGCAAGGTCATTGCTTGGTCTCAGACTTGTTTTCAAGAAGAACCCAGTGGTGCACAAGGACAGGAGGGCCTTGTATATACAAGAATGACTCTGCCATTTTTCTGGAAGCTATTTTTCTAATATTAATGAGAGGATTTTCTGTAAATAAGACCATTATCATATGCTTTCTTTAATATTGCTTGTGTAATAACAACCCCTATGTCTGGAGTATTTAATCTACAGCCAAAGGGAGATGATAGCCAACTCATAAAAGTTTGAGATATTGAAGTGATTCCTTCTTTTAATTGTGAGTGGATATGAGAAATTTCTTCAATATGTGCACATTTTTTTCCCATAAAGGGAAACCTTGTTTGCATACACATATGCTGGAATTGAATGAAAAGGTGCTAGAGGCAATGTGAAAATAACCTTATTGAATTTCTTGCCTATTGGGAATAGAATGTTAGCTCATTGGACTGGAACTATTTTTCAGTAATTATGATTCAGTAAATTATTTTTATTGACTTAATATTTTAACCCAGATGCCATAAGCCATTGTAAGTAACCCATGTAGGAGAAATGTTGCCTCAGCTCTTAACTATAGATTTTAAATCAGACAGTTCAAATGGGAAATCTCAATGGGACTGTAGAGTCTTTGAAAGTATTATATTTGAAAGTTGGGTTGTAATTCAAAATAAGGGCATAGCCTCAGTGCTGATAGACCAGACCTCCCATACTTTGCTAAAAGAGTAAGTTACATCTTCAGTATTATAACCATATTTTACAAAATCCAAGCTGTGGCCTTGGGGTGCTTCTCAGTGAAATATTGACTTTAAAGAAGTATAAGTTTGCCTCTTTGGTAAATACATGCTATAAAAGTCTTGAGGTTCATTTCTCTTATATTGCTGTTCATGTTTGTACTTTGCAAACGTCCCCTACAGTTCTTTTAATATCCTCTGTGTCTGTAGTTATTTTCCCATTTCCAATTCTCATTTCATGTATTAGTGTTTCTCCCCTTGCTTCTCTATGAAATTAGCTAATCATTTGATTATTTTGTTTCTATTTTATAATACCTTAATTGAAGTTTTCATTTTTACTAATTCATTTCTTCTGCTTGAGCTTATTTTGTTCTTTTGCCAGCTCCCTGAGTTGGATGCTCTATTCACTTATCTCATTCTGCCTGTTTAGTATTAGAAAATATAAGGGTGGGAGTTTGTCTTTTTCTTATGAATCGCATAGATTCTGATATGCAGTATTTTCACAATCATTCCTTTCTAAACATTCTATAATTTTGGTGTAGATTTTTCTTTTACCCAAGAGTTGGTTCAGATAGAGGTGTTTATTTATATAATTTTCCAATGGTGGGCTCTTCTGCTTTCTAGTTTTGTAATTAATTTGTGGCTTATTGAAATTCGATCAAGAATTTTTTCATTGCTTGGATTTTATTGTGAATCATTTGTCAGCTACTGTATAATCAGTTTTGTGAATGTTCACTGCTCTTGAAAAGTAGATTTATTTTCTACTTATAGGGTATAGAATTCAAACAATACCCCATACATCTACCTTATGAATTATGTCATTTAGGTATTTTATATATCATTTAAAAAATTTGATCTTTTGTAGGATGACAGATGTCTGTTTTCTTTTTTCTTTCTGCACAGTGTGAATGTTGATTCTATGTTATTTGGTTCTTGGATATTCATAACTATTAGATTGTCATAATTTATTGTACGCTTTATCATTATAAAGCCTGATTCTTTGCCTCCTCTAATGCTTTTACCTAGAATTCAAATTTGACTTGTTTTAAGAATATGAGCCTTGTCTCTGCATAGGTTTTAGCCTTTCAGAGATACTTTGGTTTGGGTGTGCATTTTAAACACTGTATATAGTTGAGGCTTTTAATGAGTCCATCTAAGATTCTTTTCTTTTATTATTTGAAATCAGCTATTTTCATACCTATTGAAATGACAGGAACATTTGATCTTAGGCACCATCATATTTTATATCATGCTTTCTGTTTTTATAGCTTCTTCATAAATAATTCATTATAGATGTGCCATTTGCCTTGTCCTATATTAATTTCTTCTGATGACTTGGAAGTTTTATATTATGTTTCTAGCTCTTCCAGTGGCTAACTTGATAATAAAAATTTTATGTCCTCTATTTATTTAGATAGTATCTAATGACTCCTTGTTATAAAAAATAGTAAACTTCTACTTCCTCTCTCCTCTTCCCCAGCACCTGATTTTTGTAGCTCTTATTAACTTATTTAATTCTTGTAGTCTGTCCTTTATTATTTAAGTATAGCTCTATTTTTTATATGTCAGGTTTAGATGATATATTCTTATGTCCAACAGATAAGACAGCTGGTGTTTATTCATTACCTCCCAACACCATTCCTCATTTTCCTTTCCATAACATAATTAACTCCTTGTTACTCTTTGTTGGCTTTATTATTTCCAAGTTGTTCTGATTTTTTAAATGAGTGTTCTATGGCATGTATGACATGCTGCTTACAAAAGATACACCTTAAACAAGGTGACTCAGAAAGGTAGAAAACACATCTGGCAAGAGCATAATTTTCTAGTTATTCTTTTTTTTTTTTTTTAAAGATTTTATTTATTTATTTGTCAGAGAGAAATCACAAGTAGGCAGAGAGGCAGGCAGAGAGAGAGGAGGAAGCAGGCTCCCTGCTGAGCAGAAAGCCCGATGCGGGGCTG